GGAACTGCTCCAGAACCACCAGGTCCAGCATCTGCGCCTTGCTGTGTCGCTCTGGCTGCAGCCACTGCCGGCAGAGGTCGTGGAGCCGGCTGCAGACCCCCCGGGGCCCCTCGGCCTCCTGGTAGCGCAGCTGCCGGAAACGCAGGCACCACCCGCCCGTGCCCAGGGTGGCCTCTGCGAGGTCCTGCTCCACTGTGGACCCCCAGAATTCTCTTGCGCCCCTGGCCTGCATGCCGAGGGGGCCCACACCGCTTTCCGGACCGGCCACGTCGAGCTCCTCCGTCTTCACTCTGCTGTCTGACATTGCCTCCAACATGGCCGAAAGATCACCTCCCTCTTTGGTCAGACTCTACCATGGGGCAGAACCGCCCAGGAGAGCAAGGACACCGAGGCCTGAAAGCCAACAAGATGCTGTGTGAATGGGCTCAGCAAGATTCTTGAACAAAGCTGGCCTACAACCCCCATCCTCTGTAGCTGGATGGGGATGATGGGAGTTGTAATCAAAAACTTTGTAGACCTTCGATCTCCCACCCTGTTCTTAGGTAGGATGAGATTTAACACTCGAATGGAGCAAGGTAATGAGCACCTTTCTCTATTGCAATGGTAATAACCACATTGGATTTACACTCCACATGTCTTCCACTTACAGGGAACCCAAGATGGTTCACATAGTTCTCTTCCTCTCCATTTTAGCCACACAACAGCCCTGTGAGGTAGGTCAGGCTGAGGATCTGTGACTGCTGCAGTCGCCCAGTTAGCTCCATGTCTGAATGGGAACTAGTCAACGGCTCTCCACGTCCCGGTCTAACTCTCTAACCAGCGCGTCACACTGGCAAATCCTGCGATTCAAAACTGACGCCAAAGGACACAGGAGTGGAGTGGTTTAGGCTCCCCTTCCCGAGCATGCAGTTCCCGCTTTGATTCTCCGGACAGGGACGGGATTGCTTTGTGGTCTTTCACGCGCGCGATGCTGGGCTTTTTTCTGCAGAAAAGCGCCCCACACATTGCAAACCTCCCGCTTTCGCGCAGGCTCGCACCGGACGCAGCCGTAAGCGAGGTAACCGCGCCGATCCGCGGAGCAAAACCCCGGAAAGTCCCGCCTGGCGTCACGAAACGATGCGGGGCGCCCCGGGCCGCCGCCTCAAGGAAACTTTCCGGCTGTTTGCAACAAGCCGCCCCCACGCACAAAAGCGCCCCGGGGAATCGGGGCCGCGGGACTCACCACAAGCCCCGGAGCCGAGAGACAAAGGCCGGAGGCGCCCTCCTTGTGCGGGCCGGCTCTGCAGCCACGCAAACCCGGCGCCTTGCCACCTTCGCGGGGCCCCTCCGCGCTCCGACCCGCAGCAGGAGGCGCCTGCGAAGGCGGGAGCTCGTTTGCCCTGGAGGACCAGCCTCCTCCTCTTCCTCCCCAAATGCCCTTCCCCTCTAGGAACGCCGCCGCCGCCTCCGCTCTCCTTAACTCCTGCAAGACCAAGACGCTCCCGATCTCTCCCTCGCGAGCCGGTTCTCCTTGCAAACGCTCCGCTTCACGCGACCTACTTTTGAGTAAACCGCACGCTCCGATCCGGCGGGTAAAAGGAGGGCGCCTGAAACACGCAGCGCGCATTTTCCAGTGGGGCAGCGCTGTTAGATCTGTAGTATGTTTTTATTTAAATAAAAAATTTCAACCTTAAAAAAAATAAATTTCAACCTGTTTGGGGCACAATGGCTCGCAAGAAGAAACTGGGCAGCCTTCGGAGCGGGATGGTGTAAATTGGTGCCTTGCAACAGCAGGGGGTTGAACCCGATGTCCTCTTGGCTTCATCCAACTTTACTAACCTATGATTCTGTGCATGTTGGGACGGAAAAAGCCCTACAATGTGTGTCCCAGGCAGTAGCAAAAAGCCCAACTAAACTGTTATTTTGGAGCAGTCCATTCATCCAGGGTACAATTTTAGGCAACTTTAGACAGGGGGAAAAGCATTTTTCCTCTTATCCAACATCCACAATATTCCGTTCTGGACGAGTTTTGGAGCACCTTAAAGACCCAACCTATTTATTTATTTATTTATTTAACGCTTTTATATACCGTCTGACTACTACAGTCTCGGGACGGTCTACAGTGACAACAGAATAAAACGAAGCACAGCATCCAATAAGTATAATAAAATATTTATTTATTGCACCGGCATGAGCTTTCTTGAACTGTGTAGCTGACTCGAGATGAAAGTGAAAGGAGAAGAGGAAAAAGTAAAATCGCAGCGGTAGGAAAACAAAACTCATGTGACCACAGAAGAATTGCATAACTTTCAGGTCAACAAGGAAGGAGCAGAAACTGTGAAAAGCTTTGCAAAACTTGGCTCAAGCATCAGTTCAAAGAGAGACAGTAGCGAAGGTGGAGAGTGTTGGGAAAATTTGGGTAAATCCTGTCTGAAAAGCATTACTCCTGTGTGCCTTTGCATTGTGGGATCAAATCCTGTCTTCCTTCTCAAAACCAAGCTGTCACTGTTTAAAATGGCATTCCCCCGCTCCTTTCTCTCACCTTTAGCTGTGGGCTACAGTAGGCCATTTTAGCCCAAATATACATTATAAATAGTCATTGTTGGAATTCAGTTTACAATAATCTTTTGATAGCCCAGAGGGCTTCATGTGCCCTGATCATGCAGAATGTTTAGAGTCAAGATAAGGGTCTGAGCTTATCATGAATAGTTTCTAGTAGCTTGAATTTGCATGTCTGAGCAGACCTGGAGATGGGTTCAAGCTACTGAACTAAAGTGTCAATACAGGCAATTAGAAATATTGTAATCTCATTGTTACTGTGTGATGGACTGACATTTCTTTATCTGTTGTTGTTGTTGTTGTTGTTGTTATTATTATTATTATTATTATAACATTTCTATGCCGCCCCTTGCCGAAACCTCGGGGCGGCTTACAACATGATAAAATACATTGAAATACAACAGTACATAATAAATTACCATCAAATATAACAATACAAAAAATACATTGATTTACAAATACAAAATTAAAATTATCAGTATAAAATAAAAATATAGGAGGAGAAAGAGAAGGAAGAAGAAGTTGCCCAGGCCAGATCATATGTTTTAACAATTGAAATGATGTTTAAATAAAAAGGTCTTTACCTGGCGCCGAAAAACCAGTAACGACGGTGCCAGGCGGACCTCTTTGGGGAGTGAATTCCATAGGTTGGGCGCCACCGCAGAGAAAGCCCTCCTCCGGGTACTTATTCTCCTAATTTCTTTCATGGAGGGTTCCCGGAGAAGGGACTCTCCCGCAGATCTCAAAGGGCGGTCGGGCATATACGGACGTAAGCTGTTATGTGTGTGATGACCTCAGAACCTTATTGTAATCTCTGCGTTCTGTCATCAGTTGGCCTGTACCTGTGTACCTATAAATGCCCTGTAATGGTATTGAAGCTTGGCAGCAGAGTTAGTTCACCTCTGCCTGCCCGGTAATGCATTCATTATCGTGACTACCGTGGGAACCTTGGGGTAAATACAATAAAGCCTCAGTTGGTCTGGACGCTTGGTCTTTCCCATGAACCCGAGTTTTATTCCCTCTTCTCAAACGGAGATTCCGGGATTCTGACAATTGCCACCTAAGAGGGAAGGTTGAACTGGGAATCCTGCACTGAGCAGAAGCTTGGACCCGATGACCCTTGTTGCCCCTTCCAGCTTCTATGAAGTTAGAGCCTGAGACTGCAAAGGACAGCCGTGAAGGAACTAGAAAAGATCAAGTGTGAGTACAGGTGACTGGAGACCAAGGTCAAGATCATCCACACTCTTGTAAGATCAGCAGCAGAGGCCCTGCTCTGAGAACCGTCCTTGAAGGAGGTTAGGAGAGTGAACACCCAGAAGAGGGCCTTCTCTGTGGTGGCGCCCCGACTGTGGAACGCGCTCCCCAGAGAGGTTCGCTTGGTGCTGACTTTATAAGCTTTTCAGCGCCAGGTAAAAACCTTTTTATTTACCCAGCATTTTAAAGCTTATATAACATTAATCTGGTTTTAGTAATAGTAATATCCTCAGTTGCATTTTATCTTGTTATTATAGTTGTAAATTGTCTAAATTTATTGTTTGTTTATATTATATTGTAAGCCATCCAGAGACGATTGCTTTATATAGGACGGGATAAACATGTTCTAAATAAATAAACATTCCTTATCACTATGACTGGGTGTGAAAGCTGGACAGTGAAGAAAGTGGACATGAAGAAAATGGGTGTGTTCAAAACACAGTGTTGGAGGAGAGCTTCATGAATTGTTGTTCAGTGGCAAAGTTGTGTTGATTCTTCATGACCTCATAGACGACATTCCTCCAGGATCTCCTGTCCTCCACCATCTTCTGGAGTCCACCCAACCCCACTCCCACTGCCCCAGCGACCCCATCCAGCCACCTCAACCTCTGCCGCCCCTTTCTCTTTTTGCCTTCAGTCGCTCCCAGCATTAGGCTCTTCTCCAGGGAGTCCTTCTTTCTCATTAGGTGGCCAAAGTACTTGAGTTACAGCTTTAGTACCTGTCCTTCTAGAGAGCAGTCAGGGTTGATTTCCTTAGCTTCATGAATGTTGTTAGTTGTGAAGTCACATTCGACCCATTGCGACCCCATGGACAACATTCCTCCAGGCCCTCCTGTCCTCCACCATCCCCCAGAGTCCACTTGAGCTCAAGCCGACTGCTTCAGTGACTCCATCCAGCCACCTCATTCTCTGCCATCCCCTTCTCCTTTTGCAGTCCATTTTTCCCACCATCAGGGTGTTCTCCAGTGAATCCTTTCTTCTCATTAGGTGGCCAAAATATTTGAGTTTCAGCTTTAGTACCTGTCCTTCTAAAGAGCAGTCGGGGTTGGTTTCCTTAGCTTCATGAATACACAGGACCAATTGAACGATGAACATGTGGGTGCTTGATCAAATCAAGTCAGAGCTTTCCCTGGAAGCAAAAATGAGGCTGTCAAACTTTGGGCACATTCTGAGAAGGCAAGACTCTCTGGAGAAGACCTTCATGCTGGGGAAAGTGGAAGGTGGAGGAAGAAGAGGAAGGCCAAATACGAGATGGATGGACTCCATAAAAGAATCCACAGTCTTAAGAGCTGAGCAGGGATGTCAAGGCGAGGACTTTGGGAGGGCTTTTGTTCATAGGGTTGCCATATGTCAGAGATGTCTTGATGCCTTGTAAGAGCAACAACAAGCCAGCTGTGTGTGAACTGCTGTGAACATAAACCTGGAACTTTCCATAATACTCCATGTCTGTAGGCCACACTGCATAAATGACAAAAAGTCCTGTGCCATCTGGAAGACTACTAAATATATTCTCTGGCATAGACTTCTGTGGATGCATGGATTCTTACGTAGGAGTTTCAAGTTTATATACAAAGCAGTTGGTTTATGCTTGCCTACAAACCAAGGAAATTTATGCCAGGATGAATGTGTTTATTTAAGGTATTAGAAGACTAGTTTTGCTGCAATAGAGTTATCAAGGGTGCAGTTGTAGGACTTTTCTTCTGTCTAAATATGCATACAACTGCCAGGATGGCCCAGCCAGTCGGGAATGCTGGGAAATGTAGGCTCCCCTCCCATCAGAACGTGCATAGAATTGCAGCCAAAATAGGTTCAACATAGCCAGCTCCTATTTCATTTGATTTGCTACAGTTCTATGCTGCCCAATAGCCAGAATTTCCTTGAAGGTTTACAAAGGTGAACATCCTTAAAATGCATTATAAAACCACTTACTTACATGCAGTTACTGTGCACACACAAAGGAATGGGCTTCCACTGGAGGTGGTTGAGGCCCCATTGGTGAGGGTGTTCAAAGATAGGCTAGACATGCACATGGTGGGCATGTCATGAGCGGAGCCGGCTGGAGCTGGGGGTCAGACTAGATGACCCAGGAGACCCCTTCTGACTCGCACTGTTTCTATGAATGCAAATCTAAAACAATTAGAGTATGCAAGCTTAGAGAGACAAAAGTACTACAGTTCCCAGCATCCCCAGGCAGCAAGCTCAGGGCACACAACGTCAGACATTATTCCATGCATGTTTAGGGCGAGAAAGCCCTACAGCTCCAGGCATGCCCCAGCCAGCAAGAAAGCGCCTTACAATTCCCAGCCCGCGGGCCAAGAAAAGTCCTACAACTCCCAGCATGCCTCGGTCAGGGTGAGTCGTTGGGGCATGCTGGGAGTTGTAGGATTTGATAAATCACGGACATGTTTGACCTGTCCAAACATGCATGCGATTGTGCTCCAAGCGGACCACATTATCAAGGCTGGGGGGACGCGTGTTTCATCGGCTCTTCTTTCGCCTGCCGCTCGGCTCCTGCCTGGGTCATCCCAGGGAAACCGCTGGGTTAAATCTAGAGGAGGCGGGGGCGTTCCTGGAGGGGAAGGACATTTGGGGGCGGGGGCGGGGGAGGAGGCTGGTCCCCCAGAACCAGTGCGCTCCGCAGCCCGGTGCCGCTGTGGGTTGCTGCGCGCAGGGCCCCGCGCAGGGTGGCGAGGTTCCCTTGCGTGCGGAGCCGGCCTGCACGGCGAGGGGGCTTGCGATGCGTGCGGCCTGGCCTTCGTCTCTCCCTCCCCGGGGAGATCTGGTGAGCCCCCGCCGCCGGTCTCATGCACGTGGGTGAGGGAGACCCGGAGAGCTTGGCCGGCCCGGTCCCGTCCCAATGGAGACCCGGACCCGGGCTTGGCGAGGCGAGGGGAGGCAGCGGCGAGCCAAAGTACCCCCCGAGTCCACGAGGAAGAGGGCTGCTCGCCGATCTGGTGGCGAGGCGGGACGGGACGCTGCCCCGTGCCCGTGCATTTGTCCCCGAACCGGCTCCAGCCCCGGCTTCGAGCTGCCAGGACTGCAAAACTGCGCGCCTGACTAGGGGACTCTGGCCCGGGTGGCTGAAAGCGCTACTGCAGTCTCTCCGCGCCTGGACCCGTTTACAGAAATCGTAATTAATGCAGCTTAAAAGCAAAATAGGAAAGGGGTGTATATCCGTAGCATCTCCGGCGTCTGCCTGACCGGTTTTGGGAGTCCGGGTTTCACGGTATTGGCACGATGGCGTGGACACACTCGCGATCACGCGTTTGCTTGTAGGTTTCTTGTCCTGCGGTCTTGCACACATGGGTAAAAAGGGATCGGAGCAGAAGCAAACTGCCTAAAACTGCCTAAAATGCAGCGGGATTTAATCGCGGGAAGTTTCTGCCACGGTTTCATAGCTGCCTCTGAAATGTCACAAAAGGTTTCTTGTTCATCTGTAGCAAATTATTATTATTATTATTATTATTATTATTATTATTATAACATTTCTATGCCGCCCCTTGCCAAAACCTCGGGGCGGCTTACAACACAATAAAATACATTGAAATACAATAGAACATAATAAATTACCATTAAATAAAAAATATAAAAAATACATTGAGTTACAAATATAAAATTTAAATTATCAGTATAAAATAATAAAAATATAGGAGGAGAAAGAGAAGGAAGAAGAAGTTGCCCTGGCCAGATCATATATTTTAACAATTAAAATGATGTTTAAATAAAAAGGTCTTTACCTGGCGCCGAAAAACCAGTAACGACGGTGCCAGGCGGACCTCTTTGGGGAGTGAATTCCATAGGTTGGGCGCCACCACAGAGAAAGCCCTCCTCCGGGTACTTACTCTCCTAATTTCTTTCATGGAGGGTTCCCGGAGAAGGGACTCTCCCGCAGATCTCAAGGGGCGGTCGGGCATATACGGACGTAAGCGCTCGTTCAGGTAGCCAGGACCCAAGCCATTTAGGGCTTTATAGGTCATCACCAACACCTTGAATTGGGCCCGGGCTTCAATGGGAAGCCAGTGAAGCTGACGGAGGACTGGAGTCATGTGAGCATAACGCCCCGTCCCCGTCAGCAACCTGGCAACTCTATTTTGCACCAATTGAAGTGTTCGGACTGTCTTCAGGGGAAGCCCCACGTAAAGCGCGTTACAGAAGTCTAGGCGGGAAGTCACCAGCGCGTGTGTCACCGTCGCCAGGCAGTCGTACTCCAGGTAGAGGCGCAGCTGATTAATCAGCCGAAGCTGAAGGAAGGCGTTCCTCGCCACCGCTGTCACCTGAGCTTCCAAAGAAAGCTCCGGGTCAAGGAGTACTCCTAAGCTGTGGACCTTATCCCTAAGAGGGAGTGTTTCACCATTCAGGACCAGGTCAAATCCACCCTCTCCGAAACCCGATCCGCCAACCAACAGGACCTCCGTCTTGTCTGGGTTGAGTTTCAGTTTAACAATTAGATTTAGATTAACAATTAGATTTCTTTATTGTCCAATAGCTGCAGTTCTCTGGGTGGTTCAGTACAGATGGGGAGGGTTATAGCTTCGAGAGTCCAGTCCTAAGAATAGTAGGATATAAATGCAATGTAGTAATGCTAATAATACAGTAACACCATAATAATATTTACCTTTATGATGGTAAGATCTCATCCTACCTCAAGAAGAGTGATAGAAAATGGTAGCCCTCCAGATGTTTTGCCTACAACGCCCCAGCCACCATAATGGTGATGCAGGATGGAAGCTGTAGGCCAGTCCACCTGGGGTTTCCTGTAAGAGGAAGAAAGGTGTAGCATAAATGCAATAATAATAATAATAATAATAATAATAATAATCATCATCATCATCATCACTGCAGAGAAAGGTGCTCATTACCTTGCTCCATTCAAGTGTTAAATCTCATCCTAGCTCAAGAACAGGGTGATAGATCGAAGCCCTCCAGAGTTTTTGATTACAGCTCACATCATCCCCAGCCAACTTGGGAGGATGGGAGTTCTAGGCCACCCCTGTTTAAGAGTTTTGCTGAGCCCATTTTGTTGGCTTTCAGGCCTCGGCGTCCTTGCTCTCCTGGGCGGTTCTGCCCCATGGTAGAGTCTGACCAAAAGGGAGGTGATCCTTCGGCCATGTTGGGGGCAACGTCAGACAGCAGAGTGAAGACGGAGGAGCTCGACGTGGCCAGTCTGGAAAGCGGTGTGGGCCCCCTCGGCATGCAGGCCAGGGGTGCGAGAGAATTCTGGGGGTCGGCAGTGGAGCAGGACCTCGCAGAGGCCGCCCTGGGCACGGGCAGGTGGTGCCTGCGTTTCCGGCAGCTGCGCTACCAGGAGGCCGAGGGGCCCCGGGGGGTCTGCAGCCGGCTCCATGACCTCTGCCAGCAGTGGCTGCAGCTGGAGCAACACAGCAAGGCGCAGATGCTGGACCTGGTGGTTCTGGAGCAGTTCCTGGCCGTCCTGCCCCCCGAGATGCAGAGCTGGGTGAGGGGGTGCGGCGCGGAGACCAGCTCCCAGGCGGTGGCCCTGGCGGAGAGCTTCCTGCTGAGCCAGGCCCAGGACCAGAAGCAGCGGGTGCAGCAAGTGAGAGCGTTTCATCCGCACCTTTCAGCGGGTCAAGCATCTCTCCAGGGGGGTCTGCCCCCCTGCCCCTCCCCTCCCCTCCTTTATCCTGCTTTCTCTGTGCTCCTCTGGCTGCAGGAGCTGCTTGGCCGCGTGGCCGTGGATTTCCCTGCGGCAGAGCAGGCCCCATCAGACGCAGGCCAGGGAGCGCGATCCCGCTGGATCGTGCAGGAGGCGGGCGGAAGGACCAGCTCTCCGCCAGGGCAGGCTGCCGTGCGGGTGAAGCAGGTGAGAGCTGCTCGCTGGAGAGTTCCCCGGGGCTTCTGGCTGGGGGAATTCCGGGGCTGGGGCAGCCGCAGCAGGGGATTCGGGGGGCCCTTGCCCCGAGAGTGCCTCAGCTCCCCTCTGCACGGCCGGTGTGTTTGCACAAGCTTTGTCACCGTTCAGAAGTGTTGGGAGGACTGACACTTGGCGGTCCCGCATCTCCATCTTGCTTTCTTTAATTTCAAACTCCAGCAGCGGTGACCCCAAACGTGACTTTTGCTGAGGGGTTTGTCAGGGAGGTACAAGACCCCTAAGCCCCAATGGAGACCCTTGACCTCTTGCAGGGGGGTCCTAACCGTCTCCCTCAGTTGGCCGGATTTTCTGGAAATCTCCCGAGAGGGAGCAGTCCAGCCCCTGCAGTTTCACCCCTCCCCCTTCTGAAACCTTCTCCACTGCTCTCTGACCCCCTCTGTTCCCTGGTGGTCCTCACTGCTGTTTCAGGAACCAGAAATGTCTTTGGAAATGGCCACTGGGCTCCCTGAGGTGGAGAAGGATCCGTGGATGCCGTCATGCTCTTCCCCCAATATCGAGGGAGGAGGAGCAGCTTCTGAGTGCCGGGATCAGGTGAGCGAATGGTGTCCGGGGGGCTGAGCAGGGGACGGCCTGGTGCTTCTGTCCCTGAGCAGGGGAGGGCCTCCGTTCCATCTTCGAGGTTGCCCAGTGTGGAGGCTGTGCCCAGAACCTCATCAAGGGTGGTGCGTTCAGGCAGCTGCCGAGGATCCACCCCCTTGGGGCCCCCGGCCCTGGCCCAAGGGGCCCCAAGAACCTGCAGCCAGCACTTCTTTGATGTTTGGGGGAGGTAGGCAATCCCCCGGCTGCCCCTTTGAACTGTTCTTGCGGACTGTGCCCAGAAGTGGGAAGAGACCTTCCAGGAGTGCTGAGCGGGAACTGTTCTCCTTCCCCCCAGGATCTGCGGCCCATCAAGGAAGAGGCGGAGGATTTTCCCGCAGAAAAGATGGTGCTGCTGGATTTGCACCCACACTTCTTGTGCAGGGAAATCGCAGGAGATGGTTGGGAATCCGTAACCCCTCTGGGTAAGTCTCCCTTCCCCCGCCCCCGGAATGATGATACCTGTGTGCAGGTGGCCGTCAGAATACCTGTGGACCCTTCTTGCACTCCTCCGGCATTTCCGCCCCAAGACCGGCTCTCTGCAGGGCGGCTCACGGAGGTCCTTTGGGTGGACCCCTCTGGGGGCAGCGGTGCCTTGGGAAATGTCACCCCCTGGCCCCCTTCATCTTATGGGCCCCCGTTTGGAGGGACAATGAGAAACTGCAGCTACCATTTCTCTCCGCTCTTCCTCTTGTCCTCCCTCTTTCAAATTGCTTCCACCGTCATGGCCTGGCATTTGTGTATTTCCCTGAGAGCCTCCCTTTCCGCCTCTTGCCCAGAATCCAGGCAGCTGACATGGCCTTCTTCCTTTTTTGCTGTCATGACAACCCTGTGAGGTAGGCTAGGCTGAGAATCTGTGACTGGCCCAAAGTCCCCCAGTGAGGTTTCCTTTGGCTACTGGTCTCCTGCGCCCCCGTCCAGTACTCTGTCACACTGAAAGATGAAATACGAAACACGCCCAGAAGGACAAGATGCATAGAATGGATTTAGCCTCAAGAAGAGCCCTGCAGGTGTGAATCGGCCCTTGGGCACATGCCATGCACAGGTAGGTCTTGCCTTCCTGCTGGAGGCAACTACCTGGACCCCAGTCTGGATGGCTAGTGCTCAATGCCAGGAAACACCGCCCCACATGGCCACCTGGCCTGTAAAAGCAGCAAAGCCCTTCACCTGCTCCGAAAAGGACAAAAATCCGCAGCCTCTGAGCAAGTGCAGTTTCGCCCATCATTCTCTCAGAAGATGGCTAAAATGGGTTTTGTTTGTGCAGCTGTTACTCTCAGGATGTGCACTGGGGTCCCGGTGGGTTGTGGGACCCAGGACATCGTCCCCAAGGTCCCACGGTGACTGAAGCACTGTTGGGGGCAGGCCTCTGCCCAAGCCGCAGCGGATGCTTCCAGGCGTGGATGTCTGTGTATCCACCTGCTTTCACCCAACCGTGGCCCACTCTGCCAGCAGGGTTTTCAGAGCAGCAGGAAGCAGCTGTTCCCTGTAGCTCCACAACAGCCCTGCGAGGGAGGATAAGGACGTTAAGTGTCACCGGCCCTAAGACTGCCTGGTGAACCTTGCAGCTGGAAACTGAGGCCTGGCCTTCAGCGCCCCAGTTCAACACTAGCCTCACAGTGGCAGTTTTTAGTTCAGGTCAGTCAATTAAATAAACTTATTTCATACAGGGATGGGGAATGTTTTCGGTCCGAGGGCCGTATTGCAAAACGGGTAAGGTCTCTGGGGCCGCATTCCATGTGTGGACAGGACCAAATGTGAGAATTGCCTTTTTTAGGCGTTCTCAGAAGCAAAAGCCTGCTCTATGTCTACTCACAAGTAAGCAGAGCTAAATCACTCCTCTGCTCTTTTAAATACATCCTGAATATTTGCCTGTCTGCTCACAGGTTGGCTAAGCGCAATTGTGGGTCTGCGCTGAAAAGCACTTGTGCTCTTAATCGAGTTTCAGCTTGATTTCTCTCCTGGGCTCTTGTCTCTCTTCTTCCCAGGAGGTGATGTGAAGGGGATGAGGAATGCTGGACAACCCTGCAGGGTGTTGTTGGAAGCCAAGTGCAATCAGGAGGAAGAGCAGAACACAAAGACAGAAGCAAACAGGGGACGGAGGAAAGAATCCTCAAAACCCACATTCCCAGAAAAAACAGAGAATGGAAAGGAAGGGAGTCGATGCCTTGTTTGTGGGAAAAGCTTCAGTAGCAAATCAAGCCTTAACCTTCATAAGAGAACGCACACAGGGGAGAAACCATATAAATGCTTGGGATGTGGGAAAAGCTTTGGTCAAAGTGGACACCTTACATCACATCAAAGAATCCACACTGGGGAGAAACCATATAAATGCCTGGAGTGTGGAAAGGGCTTCAATCAGAAGATAACTCTTACCTTTCACCAAGGGTCTCACACAGGAGAGAAGCCATTTAAATGCTTGGAGTGTGGAAAAACCTACAGCCGAAAGTCATACTTGACTAGACATCAACGAAGTCACATGATGGGGAAACAATATAAATGTTTGAAATGTGGAAAGAGTTTTAGTCATAACCAAAACCTTCATGCACATCAAAAAATCCACAAAGGGGGGAAACCATATGAATGCCTGGAGTGCGGGAAAAGGTTTCCTCAGAAGATACATCTCTGCATCTCAGGGTAGTGACATTTATGAAAGCTGAGAAAACAACAGTGAAAAATCTTAAAAGACGATCACATTTATTCTGGTAGAGGTTTTCTGGACTATTGCCTACTTCGTCAGAATGGTGTATTCTGGGGATTCTCTGGTTTCTTTGCCGGACATGTGCTTGGGGATGCATGGGGCAGGGGAAGCATTTTAAACAGCAAGGTTGGAAGGAATGAAATCCAGGAAGCAGTGACAGTGACGATCCTGTTATTTTTTTTAAATTTTAATTTAATGTAATAAAACATTTTTATCCCATCTTTCACTGAACGTCTCACGACGGCTTACAAAACAAAAAATCCACAACAACTATTAATTGTAGCCATCTACAAAGTGGTTGCAGCTGGTGACTTAAGCACACCAGCATGAGATGAGATGAGTCATTTCAGGCCTTGAGAGATAAAAGTGAACTGGGTTGCAAGGGGTAACTTGGTAGTCCACTTGAAGATCAGTGAATGGAGTCTATTCTCAAATCTGTGTGAACCCTTCCTGCCCTATTTGGGGGCACCAGAGCCTGAGGGTCCCGGAGGAAGGCAGAAAAGAGTCCTTCATATTTCAGCATTTCCAGCCAACACTCTTGGTCTGCTGTCCGAATGCAGCTTCTTGGGTTCCCCAGATGGGCCTGCTGGCTGGGAAACGCGAGTGACGGGACCTTTTCCTGTAGGACTGCAGCCCATCTCATATTTCAGTGTCCATTCTCCCAAACTGGAGAAATCCTGCAGTATCTTGACTTTTTGTTTTAACCATCCTAAAAAATTCCAGATCATTCATGAATAGGCTGAAAAGCTTCGGTCCTCATTCAGATCCCTGCAGGACCCCTCTGGCTACCTCCCTCCATGGGGAGAATTTATAATTTATTTCTACTCTCAGCTTTCTGTTCTTCAATCAATTACTGAGGCGTAAGGGGACTCCTGGCCCTTCTGGACTCAGGTAGTTAGGCTTCTATGCTAGTTGAAAATGTAGTAAGGTCAGAGTTGGTACCGTGAACTGACTGTCTGTCTGTCTGTCTTTAAGATACTTGTATGCTGTCCTTTGTGACAGCCTCAGGACGGCTTACATGAATACAATTCCAACATAAATAATGATATTATATCATAAATAACGTAAAAACATTCACAGTACATCCTCTCTTAATAAAAATAATAAGAATAAAGAATAAAACGTGACTGTATACAAATTAACAGTATTATTAAAATTGAATCAGTTGCTAAAATGAACGTTACATCAAAAGGTCTTTACCTGGTGCCGAAAAGAATAGAGGGTTGGCACCAGGCGGACCTCTCTGGGGAACATGTTTCATGGTCTGGGTGCCACCACAGAGAAGGCCCTCCTCTGCGAGGATACCCTCTGTACCTCCCTCAAAGAGGGTTCCTGGAGCAAGGCCTCCCCTGCCGATCTTAAGGGGCATGAAGGCATACAGGGGAAGAGATGTTCCTTCAGGTATCCAGGACCCAAGCCGTTTCGGGTTTCATAGGTAAGTACCAGCACTTTACTGACCCTTTCCTTCTGCACCCTGTGAGCTATTGACTTTGCTAAGTATTTGTTTCATAGTAATAAAGAACTGAATAGGTCTTTATTGGATAATTTTTGAATTTAATTTTTTCCTGTTACTGTCTTAGAACAAACCGTTCATCCCTTTAAATGCTCTTCTTATGATAACGTCCTACACTGAGCAGGGGGTTGGTCTTAATGACCTTAATGCCCCTTCCAACTCCATGTCGTGATGATTCGGTGTGTATGCAGTCTGTGGAAAGGTGTCGTGCCAATACGCTAACTCAGTGGTTTCCAGACTTTTCTGGTCATGGAACCTTTCTGAAGACATTTGTTTCCTGTGGAGCCCTAACTCCATCCCTGATTTTTACTAAGCCTTGTGAACCCACAATGTCCTTCCTTCTTTCATCTGCTCCGAAAGAATGCTTTGCATAACTGAGTAGGTTTGGAAATAAAGATAAAACATTTTAAATATATTAAATATGTTCAAGGATAGACTAGACATGCACATGGGAGGCATGTCATGAGCAGAGCCACCTGGAGCCGGGGGTCAGACTAGATGGCCTGGGGGACCCCTTCTGACTCACTCTGTTTCTATGTTTCTATAACAAATGAATAAAGCAATTATATTGTGAAATCCCAAATAAATTCTTTTGATTATTCCCAATACTACGCAACAAACAGAGTCCTAGGAACTAGACGGTCCAATGCTTTTCTTTCTTTGCTGCTTAGACGCCAACTAACAATTGAATAGTTGGCCTCATGTGGTTTGTTTTTAAAATCCATTTTAAATTTGATTCTTGAGATTTTTGTGGAACCTCTACAAGGCTTTTGTGGAACTTTAGGGTTCTGTGGAGCAGTTTGGGAACCGCTGTTCTAAATATATCCTGGAGGTGTACCTGATGCTGCAACTTCTATCATCATCATCATCATCATCATCATCATCATCAAACATTTCTATACCGCCTATAGCCAAAGCTCTCTGGGAAATTCACAACATTTAAGTCATCCATCCAGATTTCAAACAAGCCTGACCCTGCTTAGCTTCCAAGAATAGGCTCTGGCACTTCAGGCAAAATGAAAGCTTATCTTGCAGGTTACATTATGTTACATTCACCCCATCGCGACCCCATGGACAACATTCCTCCAGGCCTTCCTGTCCTCCACCATCCCCCCAAGTCCACTCAAACTCACACCAACTGCTTCACTGACTCCATCCAGCCACCTCATCCTCTGCCATCCCCTTCTTCTTTTGCCATCTGTTGTTCTTTTGCCATCTATATGACAAAAGTGCATATAGTCAAGGCTATGGTTTTCCCAGTTGCAATGTATGCCTGTGAAAGCTGGACCATAAGGAAGGCTGAGCGCCGAAGGACTGAGGCCTTTGAATTGTGATGCTGGAGGAGACTCCTGCGAGTCCCTTGGACTGCAAGGCGATCAAACCGGTCAGTCCTAGAGGAGATCAACCCTGACTGCTCTTTAGAAGGCCAGATACTGAAGATGAAACCCAAATACTTTGGCCACCTAATGAGAAGGGAGGACTCCCTGGAGAAGAGCCTAATGCTGGGAACAATAGATGGCAAAAGAAGAAGGGGGTGGCAGAGGATGAGGTGGCTGGATGGGGTCACTGGGGCAGTGGGTGTGAGCTTGGGTGGACTCCGGGGGATGGTGGAGGACAGGAAGGCCTGGAGGAATGTTGTCCATGGGAACACGATGGGTAGGACACAACTTCGTGACTAACAACAACAAGTGTCCATCTGCGGTGATCATGGAGCCCAAGAAAATAAAATATGTCACTACCTTCATTTCTTCTCCATCTATTTGCCAGGAAGTGATAGGACCAGATGCCATGATCGTAGTTTTCTTAATGTCAAGTTTCAAGCCAACTTTTGCACTCTCCTCCTTCACCCGCATCAAGAGGCTCTTTAATTCCTCTTCACTTTCTGCCATTAGAGTGGTATCATCTGCATATCTGAGGCTGTTGATATTTCTCCCAGGAATCTTAATTCCAACTGGTGATTCATCCAGCCCCGCCTTTCTCATGATGTGCTCTGCATATAAGTTAAATAGGCAGGGTGACAGTATACAGCCTTGCCAAACTCCTTTCTCAATTTTGAACCAATCAGTGGTTCCGTGTCCAGTTCTCACTGTTGCTTGTTGACCTGCATACAGATTTCTCAAGAGACAAATAGGATGGTCTGGTACTCCCATCTCTTGCCACAATTTGTTGTGATCCACACAATCAAAGGCTTTAGCATAGTCAATGAAGCAGAAGTAGATATTTTTCTGGAACTCCCCAGCTATCTCCATGATCCGGCGCATGTTGGCAATTTGATCTCTAGTTCCTCTCCCTTTTCGAAATCTTGCCTGTACTTCTGGTAGTTCTTGGTGCACAGACTGCTGGAGCCTAGCTTGTAGGATTTTGAGCATAACTTTGCTAGCATGTGAAATGAGTGCAATGGTGCGGTAGTTTGAACATTCTTTGGCATTGCCCTTCTTTGGGATCGGAATTGGCCAATCCTGTGGCCAATGCTGAGTTTTCCAAATTTGCTGGTGCGAGATTCAAAACTCTGTAAGACAAGATCTGGGCAGGCACAAGCAGCTTTATTGAAGCGTTTGCAAAGGCTGGCTCAGAGTCTCAGTTGCCCGAGGAACAAAGAGCAATTTACACAAAGCATACATGAAATTATATACATTTCTTTTCCTGACACTCAACACTACTTCCGCTTCACCATTGGCTGGTTACTCTCTGGTGTACATTCTTCCCATCATGTCTCTTCCCAAACAAGGTCTCTACCGCATAATATAACCACCAATTGTTCTATCCTTGCTACCCTATCTTATGTTTTCCAGTGTCTGGTTCTTCTTTCCGCAGGATTCGTGCCTGCATACTTCGCAACAACTGGCGTTTTACTAAGGAATGTTTCTGTTTCTACTGCTTATCTTCTCTTTAAAAAGATACTATTTCTACTCTATTTCTCACACTGGCATATTGAGTGTAGCACTTTTACTGCATCGTCTTTTAGGATTTCAGATAGCTCAGCTCCACTAGCTTTGTTGTTGCTCAGACTTCCTAAGGCCCATTTGATTTCACATTGCAGGACGTCTGGCTCGAGGTCAGTGACCACCCCATTGTGGTTATCAGGGACTTTAAGCTCTTTCTTGGATAGTTCTTCGGTGTAATCTTGCCACCTCTTCTTAATCTCTTCTGCCTCTCTTAGGTCCCTGCCATTTTGGTCCTTATCATTTTTTATTTATTTTTTTATTTATTAAAACATTTTTATGCCGCCCCATTCGCCGAAGCCTCGGGGCGGCTTACAACATAGATAATCATGCCCAACCTTGCATGAAAGGTTCCCTTCATATCTACAATTTTCTTGAAGAGATCTCTAGTCTTTCCTACTCTATTGTTTTCTTCTATTTCTTTGCACTGTTCGTTTAAGAAGGCCTTCTTATCTCTTCTAGAGAATCTTGCAGGTGCTGCTTGTTAAATCAGGAATGCTGAACAGCTTGGGGATAACTTCCATTTCTGAGAAGGTCTTGATGCCATTTTCCAACAGTGAGTAAGTAAAACCTTTAGATTTTATCTGAGCACCCCTTAGATTTTATCTGGCTGACATGACAGCCCTGAAATCCTGGAGAACTTCGTCCTGATGCGAACTCTTCCTCCTGAAATCCAAAAGTGCACATCACAGCAATCACTGCGTTGCGTTAGTAGCTGCATTGCAAGCTATATTGAAAGGCGGAATACTTTTTTTAAAAATACATAGTGCTACATGCTCCTTTTCTCATCATCAGCTGAGATGGAAGCTAACTGACATCAGCTCGCTCAAAGTACAACATATTGTTTGCGGTGGGAAGTATATCAAAGCATGGAGGCCATCCCCTAGCAGATAAAAATTACCAAAGCACCAGCTTTCTCGGGCCTTAACAGAGGTTTTTGTTGCTTCTTTGCCCCTCATAGTAAATTTTCCTTCCTTCCGGTTTTAATGTCTGCCTGGCTGCCTTCCTTCCTTTTTTTTCTGTCCGTCCCTCCGTCGGTCCGTCCGCCCTTCCTTTTCTGCCCGCCTGCCTGCCTTCTTTCCTAATTGACCGTCCAGCTTTACGGGGGAAGAGAATGTGCAGAAGAGTCATGCAATGTAGGCCAGTCTTTAAATACGGGACAGAAGGGGAGCTTTTCGTTGCAGAGACACAACGGGCTGGCGGGGGGGGGGGTTGGTGGGGAGGAGGAAGGGCTTTGGGGGTCCTTGCGAGCTTTTCCGCGGGAATCGCGGGCCCCCGGGCAATGGTAGGGACGGCGATTGCGGCGGGGCAGCGTCCTGTAGGGGGCAGGCGCAGAATTTCTTTTGGCTCCGTGTCGCCATTGAACGGGAAGAGGAGGAGGAGGGAGGAGAGAGGAAGGGAAAGAAAAGAAAGTATGGCTGGACGCAGAGGTGAGTGGGGCTAAAGGCCTCAGGGCAAGCGGGGCGTATGGCGCAGTGTTTGGTGCCCCTGCCCTGCACTCAAGGATCCGGGCTCAATGCCTGACCTCTCCCATTAAAAGATACATCTCCTGCCAGGTACCGCTGATCGGTGAATTCGTGGTGGATTATTGGGGTACCGATTGTGTATTTGCAGCTTGCTTCAGAAGGACCTGTCAGGGCAGTTCTTTGCCAAAAGGGGCAAATCACCCCTTCCTTTCCTTCACAGTGCAATCCATGGCACCCAACTCAAAGGGGAGGTGGTGGTGGGGGGGAGGGAAGGTATGTGGCTTTATTATTATTATTATTATTAGAACATTTCTATGCCGCCCCTTGCCGAAGAGCTGTGCTTGGCATGTGGGGTGTCAGGGACTGAGGGGGTGCCTCAAGGGTGTCAGATGTGCAGTGGTCAATGAAACATCAATTCCCTTTCCTAGCCAGCCTTTGACCTTCCGAACGGAAGCCTTACAAGGTGGGCTTCCAGGGCCTTGCCAGTGGTGGTACCATTTTTGCTGATCTGGCGACCTTGTATCCTCCATGGAGTCCTCTGTTTTAAAGGCACCATCTCGGTGAAGACTCGTCACCGCCCAAGTCGGGCCTCAAGAGAGCCAGTGCTGCATGGCGATGCAGGTGTTGGGCTGGGGACCTGGGAGACGCGCGTTCTAGTCCCCACTAGACCATAAAGCTCTTTGAGTGACTGTCGGCCCAGCCTACCTCACAGGGCTGTTGTTGTGATTACTGTTTTGCTGAAGGGTGCAGGGTTGGTCCACCCATGAAGCAGGGAGATGTGCTGCCCTCCTCTACTCCCGGCTACAAGCCAGGGAGCCTGCCGCCACCTCCCACAGATGCCCTCAGGAGCTCTGATGTCCGCTTTCCCTCCGTGGATCTGCCCTGGCGAGAAGGCGGCCAGCAGGGCTGTTCAGAGCAGCCACCCGCCCTTTGTTGTCACAAGGCCTTTGTGAGATCTCGACACACGGCCAGCACCCTGCGATGTCTTGGCTGCAAATGCCTGGGAGGTGGGAGGTGGGAGCAGGTGGGACAACAGCCCAAATTCTTCTGCTCTGGGGGCAAACGAGCCAGTACCTGTTGCCAGGATGTGGAAAATCCATTTGTGCTGACTGACCTTGCATTAACTTCCAAGCAAGAAAGTCATAAGGTCGAGTCTCATTCCATTCCCCAGAGCCTCTTGGAAAAATATTCCAGGGGTGGGATGCCACCACCAAAAAGGCCCTTTCCCCACCTGAACAGGGACCCAAAGAAGGCCTCAGCGGTGTAAGACCGTTCTAAATCTGTGAACCCCTGCTTATACATTTCCCCCACCTTCACAGACAGCATTGCAAGAACACACAAGCAATATCCGAGTTGTGTGTCCTCACCTCCGGGCAGAAGTGCTCCTGTTCTGGGTTCCAGCCAGCCAGTACGAGGTGAGATCAGGCCGTCCCAGTCCACACCTGCACCCTGGTTGTCTTTCCCAATCAATATTCAATATTTGGTAGTTATGGAGCATGTACATTCCTCAGTGGGCAGGTTTTGGAGGGTATTTTTGCTGACTTGGGGATTCTCTAAGTATTGCTGGTGCTTCCCTCTTGATTCTCACTGTTTGACTAAATTAAGCATTGGCAGATGGCTGACGGAAGTAATTCTTTCACCTTCTGCTATTTCACACTCCTCAGTTGATGTTCAGAGCCAGGTTTTTGAGGGTGAGATGCCCTCCACAGCCCTCCTCCTTCAGTGGCTGCATTCAGCCATGAATAACCCACACTCACAGGTTCAGCATGGACCGAATGTAGGTTGCCACTGAATGGTGGGTTACTGTTGAAATCTGAGTTACTGTTTTCCTGGAACCTAGTTGTGCTAACAATCCATGGCTTGTTAACCACAGGCAACCCATGGAGAGAACTCAGTTTGTTGCTGGGTTGCAAGTTGTGGGTGTTCACCATGGTTTGTTCTCTTGGCTGGGTTCAGACCACGCGGTAACCCATGATTCAACAACAGCCCACGGTTCAATGACAAACCATATTCAACCCTTGTCTGAACCCAGGCAGTGAGCCTACCTTCTCACCAGCTTCTCTTGCTCCTCTTCCTTTTTCTCATGATGGCTACCACTTGCTTCCCTGGCAAGGAAGGATCCAGAGCACAAGCCAGTGAGCAGTGGGCCTCATCGCTGCCTTTGACAGGCCTGAGAGAAGCTGGTACACAATATAAAAGCAGAACAACTCTGGCAGGCTGTTGGTATGTGGCCCTGGCTTGGGAAGGAGCTCTTGGGAAGAGCCACGTGACTCAAAGCCGTGTGTTCTGTCCTTGGTTTTCTCTTAACTTCTCTCTCTGTTTTTCTGGAGAAGATGTTTCCATCCAGAGGCAGTGTGTCCAGGAGAGGCCTTGCAGAAGAGCACCAGCTGACGAGAGTCTGTCATTAGCTCCGAGGTGTCCACCTCCCAAGCCTGAAGACTTATCTAATTGAATATATCCAGAGAAAGCTGGGAACCTCCAGAGTTCTTCAAGCGGGAAAAGCAAAGGCCCTTCCCAAAGAGAGAAGATGGCAGCCAGAGAGGGCCCAGTGGCATCTCAGGACCAGTGGAAATTTTCCAGAATGGACAGGGGAGAAGAGATGTCCACAGGGAAGGTTCTGGAAGGAGCAGGAAATGTGGCTTGTGCCGTTCAAGATGGTGGCAGCCCTGATACCAGAGACAGGAAGGACCACGGGGAAGTAAAAGCTGTCCCCCTGCAAAGCGATGCTCTTGAAACGGAGGTGCAGCACAGGCGCTTCAGGGGGTTTCGCTTTCACGAGGCCACAGGGGCACAGGACGCGTACATCCAGCTCTGGGAACGTTGCCACATGTGGCTGAAGCCGGAGAGGCGCTCGAAGGAAGAGATGGTGGACTTGCTGCTCCTGGAGCACTTCCTGGCCATTCTTCCCAGGGAAATGCAGAGCTGGGTCCGGGAATGCGAACCCGAATCCTGTGTGGAGGCAGTGGCGGCCGCTGAGGACTTTGAATGTTTTCTCAAGCAGCAGGTAGGTTGTTCCATGGGGTGTTGCACGGAAATGTGCTCCAGCTCCCTCCACCCAAATTTGCCACCTCGTTCGCCTGCCCGGTTGTTAGTGAAGTGGCTGCAGACTTGAATCTATTCCTCAGAGCCTCAAGGGTCCACTGAGGCCAGTGGAGAGGTCTGCCAGCCCGCCAGATTAATTTGATGTGTAATTAATTTAATTAATTTAATGATGCCTGTATGGTGTAGTGGTTAAGATTATAGGACTGGGACTCGGGGGATCCAAGTTCTAGTCCCTGCTTAGCCTTAGAGCCCCCTGGGTGACTTTGGGCTAGTCACTGAGACTCAGCCCAGCCTACCTCGCAGGGTTGTTGTGAGGATAAGCTGGAGAGGAGGAGAAGGTGCAAGTCCTCTTGAGTTCCTGGGAAGGAAGGCAGGATATAAAAACAATCAATACAATAAAAATACAATTTTCAGGGCAGAGGGTACAGCAATCCATCCCCACCATTGGTTTGGGATGATCCAGTACAGGGTATAAATTCGCTGCAGAATTAATTTTTTAGGGATGATTTGGATGAAAAATTAACTGGCTGCTGTTGTTTCCCGCAGAGTTTAAACAACACCTAGTCATTATGTCTAGATTTGGATATACAGATATAAATTAGCACATGCAGATTTGTTTTTTATGAGCCTGGGATGTGGATCTTTTAATCTGGTTGCAGGGAAGTGGATTCCTGTGGGGGGTTTTGTGTGGGGAGGCTAAATTTAGAAAGGGGTGGCCACTGCCATCTTTTGTACCCCACCAGCCCCTAGGAGTGACATGATGTGATAATTACACTAATTTCCCAATTTCTTTCTCCTGCAAGGAGCTGAAGGCAACTTACATGATTTCCCCCTCTTCTGTTTTACCCTCACAACAACCCTGTGAGGTAGGTCAGGTTGAGGGTCAGTGACTGACCCAAAAATAAAGGAGCTGTACATAGTCCATCCCCTTTCCATTTTATCCTCATGACAACCCTGCAAGGTAGGTTAGGCTGAGGCTTAGTGCCTGGCTGAACAATCAAGGAGCTGTATGTGATCTCACCCCTCTCACAACAACCCTGTGAGGTAGGTTAGGCTGAGAGTGACCAAGTGCGCTTCATGCCTGAGTCGAAGGCTAGAACCCGGATCTGTCCCAGCCTCAAACCCACTGCATTCATGAGAACCTCCAACAGCAAATGACCCCTTCAAAAATTAATCTTTAATAAACTATATTTTAAATTACCAGTTTCTCCTTCATATTATTATTATTATTATTATTATTATTAACATTTCTATGCCACTCCTTGCCGAAGCCTCGGGGCGGCTTACAACACAATAAAATACATTGAAATACAATAGAACATAATAAATTACCACTAAATACAAAAATACAAAAAATACACTGAGATACAAACATCATAATATAAATTAAAATTAACAGTATAAAATAAGTAAATAAAGAATATAGGAGGAGAAAAGAGAAGGAAGAAGAAGTTGCCCTGGCCAGATCATATATTTTAACAATTAAAATGATGTTTAAATAAAAAGGTCTTTACCTGGCGCCGAAAAACCAGTATCGACGGTGCCAGGCGGACCTCTTTGGGGAGTGAATTCCATAGGTTGGGCGCCACCGCAGAGAAAGCCCTCCTCCGAGTACCCACCCTCCTAATTTCTTTCATGGAGGGTTCCCGGAGAAGGGACTCTCCCGCAGATCTCAAAGGGCGGTCGGGCATATACGGACGTAAGCGCTCGTTCAGGTAGCCAGGACCCAAGCCGTTTAGGGCTTTATAGGTCATAACACCTTGAATTGGGCCCGGGCTTCAATGGGAAGCCAGTGAAGCTGACGGAGGACTGGAGTCATGTGAGCATAACGCCCCATCCCCGTCAGCAACCTGGCAGCTCTATTTTGCACCAATTGAAGTGTTTGGACCGTCTTCAGGGGAAGCCCCACGTAAAGCGCGTTACAGAAGTCTAGGCGGGAAGTCACCAGTGCGTGTGTGTTCCCAAACCCTGAGCTGCAGAAAGAGGAGGCATTGCTTCTTAGCCCCACTTAGTTTTCTGCCCCCACAAGTTTCCTCTTCGCTTTCAGTCCCCACTTTAGCTTTGCTATTTTTCTCGCTTTTCTCCTTCTCTTGAATTATTGCTTCCTTTCCAGCCTTGCCCTTTCTATCCGACTTGCCCCTTCATTTTTCTGTTTTTCCTGACTTTCACCCTAAAGCCTTGCTACTTCTTTCTACCACATGCCTCCAATCCACACAGCTCCCATTTTGTGACTAGTCATGCCCTCCCTTCATGGGAGCCATTTTGTGATGGCGCCCACGGCAGTTTCTCACATTGCAGAACCTGCCCACGGGTTAGAAAAAGGTTGGGGGCTCCTGCTCTAACCACTGCAGCGCACTACCTCTCAGCGATGATGCAGTTCACTCCTTGTGGCTCTGGGGAAAGAGAAGTAGCTGTGGCTGGCCAGCACCACCAATAAGAGCTCCAGGTGGAGGTTGGCTGTCCCCACCTAAATTTGTAAGATTTCACACACACCCCTTTTGCCCCAGCAGCCCCCACCCCAATTTGATCCAGACAATCTCTGAATCATTCTCCAAAAATGCCCTGTAGGCAGGATATAAATCAAAAATAAATATTTTTTTATTTATTTTTATTTATTTACTTACGTACGTACGTACAAGTATGGATCTGCCATTTGTTTTAAGATCTTTGGGTGCCCTTCTGCATGTCCCACCATCAAGAGAGTCCAGGCAGGTCAGAAGGCAGGGTAGGGCCTTCTCTGTGTTGGCACCCTGCCTGGGGAACTTTCTCCCAAAGGGGATTAGGCTGGCCCCTTCTCCGCTCCCTTTTAGGCAGGCTTTTAAAACCGTTCAACTCCGTACTGCTTTTTGGCATTTCCGATGCAAGGCTAGGTACCCTCGAATCTGGTCTCATCCCATGAAACTGATGGGTGGAAGGTTTAAGACAGAAGGGATTGGACAGGTTCACCAAGGAGAGGCGGACGCCTAGTCACACTGAGGCCCTTCCCCTTCAAAGCATCCCAGCTAGAAGGCCAGAAACAGCTGCTCGGCAAAAATCCCATATCCGATGTCCTCAGTGCACAGAAGACCCGGAACTCTGTGCTTCCTATGCCTGGAACGGCTGTCTAGCTAAAGATGGGAAAGAAGCCGGTAGGAATCCGTTTAGGGCTCAGTAGAAAAAGAGGCCTACAACTACAGTTAATGCTTTGTGTGGTGGACCCAAACATGTGTAGAATTGCACCCTAAACACATTTACCTGGATAGAAGCCCCATTGAACTTATGAGATTTACTCTAGAGTAGGTAAGCTTCGGACAGCACCATAAATGTATTCACTGCATCTTCTGTTTTTCAAGATTTCAGTGCTTCTGCCATTTCCTTCCCTGTCATGGAAAAGCCGTTCGGGAGAAAAACGATGACCAAAGATGCCGGAGGGTTTGCACTCTCCATCTGGCCCTCAGATCCACAGGAAGTGCACCAAGCACCCCTCAAACTCACATCCCGGTCCCCTGCCAACAGAGAGGGTCCAAGTCCCCCTTTTCCCAAGGCCGGTCCGTTGTGTGACATCATTGGCGGGGGATGTTTTCCTTCCTTTCTCAGGGCCTGGTGACTTATGAGGAGGTGGCCGTGCAATTCTCCCAGGAGGAATGGGCTCTTTTGGATCTGGAGCAGCGCATTCTGCACGGTGAAGTCATGCGGGAGAATTATGCAAATATCACGTCTTTGGGTAAGATGCTGCTTCCCCTCCTGGCCACACGGGCGGCCCTCTGAGCTGGACCTTGGACTTGCCGGCAGTCAGTCATGGACCGCGTTTTGCCCCCGTGCCAGGGAGCAGCCTCTGCAGTGTCTTTTTGTTTCCGGGGGCTTTTTTCCTTGCCTGCCTTTCTGTATGTTCCATTGCACAACCACAATGTGGTGCTGTAGGAGAGCTTTGTGGTTTAGTTGCAAAGGCCTGATCCATCATGACCCCACGGACAACATTCCTCCAGGCTCTCCTGTCCTCCCCCATCCCTCGGAGTCCACCCAAGCCCACACCCACTGCCCCAGCAACTCCATCCAGCAACCTCATCCTCTGCCGTCCCCTTCTCCTTTTGCCTTCAATCATTCCCAGCATTAGGCTCTTCTCCAGGGAGTCCTTCCTTCTCATTAGATGGCCAAAGTACTTGAGCTTCAGCTTCAGTATGTGGCCTTCTAAGGAGCAGTCAGGGTTGATCTCCTCTAGGACTGACTGGTTTGATCTCTTTGCAGTCCAAGGGACTCTCAGGAATCTTCTCCAGTACCACAATTCAAAGGCCTCAATTCTTCGGCGCTCTGCCTTCCTTATGGTCCAACTTTCACATTGCAACTGGGAAAACCATCGCCTTGACTATACGCACTTTTGTGGGCAGGGTGATGTCTCTGCTTTTTAATATGCTGTCTAGATTTGCCATAGCTCTCCTCCCCAGGAGCAAGCGTCTTTTAATTTCTCGGCTGCAGTCCCCGTCTGCGGTGATCTTGGAGCCCAGGAAAATTAATCTGTCACTACCTCCATTTCTTCCCCATCTGTTTGCCAGGAAATGAGAGGAACGGATTCCATGATCTTAGTTTTCTTAATGTTGAGTTTCAAGCCCACTTTTGTGCTCTCCTCCTTCACCTGCATCAAGAGGCTCTTTAGTTCCCCTTCACTTTCTACCATTAGAGTGGTATTGTCTGTGTATCTGAGGTTGTTGACATTTCTCCCAGCAATCAGCATTGTGCAAATACACAAGGGTCTAATTCCAGCTGGTTCCACTTTTTCCAAATAAGAGCACATTTTCCTTCACCTCAACATCAAAACAAAGCATTATTTATTTATTTAGCAGACTTATATGCCGCCATTTGCCTAAGCCTCGGGGCGGCTTACAAATAAATAAATATCATTAGTACAATAAAATACGGTTGGAGACATCTTGACCAAAGTTGTTTAAATCAATAAATAAAATCAACAATTAAAATGATATTTAAATAAAAAGGTCTTGGCCTGGTGCCGAAAAGCAATTAATGACGGCGCCAGGCGGACCTCTCTGGGGAGCGCATTCCATAGGTTGGGTGCCACCGCAGAGAAGGCCCTCCTCCGGTACTCACCCTCCTAATGTCCTTCACGGAGGGCTCCCGGAGAAGGGCCTCTGCTGCCGATCTCAAGGGGCAGGAGGGCATGTATGGACATAAGCGCTCCTTTAGGTAACCAGGTCCTAAGCCATTAAGGGCTTTATAGGTGATAATCAACACCTTGAATTGGGCCCGGACTTCAGTGGGAAGCCAGTGAAGCTGGCGGAGGACTGGAGTTATGTGAGCACAACACCCAGTCCCCGTCAGCAACCTGGCAGCTCTGTTTTGCACCAATTGAAGTATCCGGACCATCTTCAAGGGCAGCCCCACGTAGAATGCGTTACAGAAGTCTAGTCGGGAAGTTACCAATGCGTGTGTCACTGTCGCCAGGCAGTCATGAAATGGTTGCAAAAAACAGCAGAGGCCTTGGAGGGGGATGAACCATGCAACGCACCATCAAAGTACTGAGAGTGAGGAATTACAAGGGGTTTGGAGGTTCTGGGGAGAGATTGAATAGCTAGGAAACAATTGGTGGTGCAGCCAGAAAAGGGAACTTAGCCTTCTGGGCCAGATTTCATGAGTTGCATTCAGCTAGTAGGTGTTCCACCACCATGTCCCGAGGAAGGCCGTGGCAGTTTTGGCGGGCCTATAAACACACACATTTCCTTCCCAAAATGGTTATTGAGCTAATGGCATGTGTGAGCTTCACTCCCCACCTCTGCCTCATTTGGTTCTTCTCCTTTAGCCCTCTGGGAAATGGGTTGTTCCCTGAATGGCTAAGTCTATCCTGGTCGCCATTTTGTGAGAACGCCCACGACACCCTCTCAGCAGTCCAAATGTGCCCCCTGCTGTAGAGAATCTCTCATGTTTGAATTGTTTTCTTTCTCTATTCCAGCAATGTCTGTGCACCCAAATAAGTCTGCGGAGAACGTCAGTCCGTGGGAATGTCAAGATTCAGCAGAAGCAGATCCGATGCCTCAAAGAGAGATGCCCGAGTTTATTTCCAGGCTTCAGGCAGAGGGAGAAGCGTCAAAGGGTCTGTCTGGCCCAGGGAGGTTGCAAAATGCTCAGTCAAGGGTTGGTCGGAGGAGGCAAAGGAGCCTCACAAAGGAGAAAAAGGTTGTATCCGCTCCTGTTGCAGGAAGCACAACCTTGGGGGAGAAAACACCAGGATGTGAAGCAGGAGCTTGTGCTCCACTGGAGGGCGGCTGCAGAGGAAAGTCTGGCCTCCTCCGGCCCAGGAAAGTGGGTAACCAGGAGGCGCAATTTCAGTGCACCGACTGCGGGAAATGCCTCAGTCGCAAGGACCACCTGATAAGGCACCAGAAACTCCACAAGGAAAAGAAGGTTCATGAATGCTCTTTCTGTGGGAAAACATTCACCCACAGCTCACACCTGCTTGCACACGGAAGGACCCACACAGGTGAGAAGCCACACGAGTGCTCCCAGTGCAGGAAGCGTTTCCGCACATTCAGGGGCCTTGTGCATCACCGCAGGGTCCACGTGGAAGAAAAGGACCTCAGTTGCTCCTACTGTGGGAAAAGCTTCCACCAAAGCGCGCGCCTCAAGATGCATGAGAAAAGCCATGTCGAAGGGTACTGGCCGTACAACTGCTCTGTCTGTGGGAAGAGCTTCAGCACCAATGCCAGACTCGTCCGGCATGAAAGGACTCACACAGGAGAAAAGCCGTTCAAATGCTCCTTCTGTGGGAAGACCTTCAGCCAGAGCTCCCACTGCGTTGTGCACGAGCGGTCCCACACGGGGGAGAACCCATATGTGTGCTCCGTCTGCGGAAAGCGCTTTAGTTGCAATTCACACCTTATAGTACATGAGAGAAGCCACACTGGAGAGAAGCCATTCAGATGCTGTGTCTGTGGGAAGAGCTTCGGCTCTCGGTCACACCTTATTGTACATGAGAGAATCCACACTGGGGAGAAGCCGTATAAATGCTCCACTTGTGGGAAGACCTTCATTTGCAAGTCATACCTTATTCTGCACGAAAGGACCCACACTGGAGAGAAACCACACCGATGCTCTGCCTGTGGGAAAGGCTTCAATCGCCAGAAGTATCTGGCTGCCCATGAGAAGACCCACACGGAGTGTTCACATTGATCATAAAATGATCAGGGTAGGAGTGTCATAGATGGTGACAGAACATATGAGGTTCATAGATTAAATCCCAGAACCTCCAAGGGTCCCCAGCCTTTCTGGGGTGATTAGCATAGGTGGCATTTGGATGCTCTCACAAAATAGCTGCCATGGGCAGGGTTGCCTGTTCACAAAATGGCTGCCATGGGCAGGGTTGCCTGTTCACAAAATGGCTGCTATGATGTGGGTGGCCAGACACAAAAATACTCATGTTCTAGAAGGCAAATGGATGAGGCAAAAACAAGTACCTTGCCCAAGAGAGTATATTGTGAACTGCCAAACACAAAGCCACACTTTTGAACTCTCAGTTTTCTGCTCAACACTTAATTCAAGAAAAGCACTTTGGCGAACCTCAAGGACATGGAACTTGGCCAAGGAGCTGATCACAAGGCAAACAAGAGAAGAGCTCTAAAATGAAACATTCCTTTAAAAACTTAAAATAGAAATGTTGTTGGAGGGCACTGTACCGTGCTGAATATATTTAAATATTAAGGCAAAGTCAGAACAAGCAAGGTGAAGAATAGATGCCAAATGAAGGAGAATGGTGCCATGGGTGCCCAGAGGAAAGGATCTTAGAGCTGGGCAAGAGACTGCCTCCTGGAACATGTGGGATTTGAACCATAAAGTGCCTCATGGTTTGGTTTCTGCATAACTCAAAACTGCTCCATTTATCCTTTCCATGTCCTGAAAAACCACAACGCATATTAAAAACATAGAGGGATTTGCTCTGTGCGACAAGCCCGACGTCCTTATTTCATAGCTCTTCAACTGGCAGGTTTCCTAGCATGTCACTTAGTGGCCGACTAGGGCTGGAGCCCTGAATCTTTCATTTGGAGCCCCAAATCTCTGGGATACCTGCTGCCCCACCTGGAATCTTTCTGTCTGAAGTTTTCTCCCTGAAACCAAATGCCCTCTTTCCCCCGTCCATGCACCCCTTTTACTGACCAGGGTGTCCTTAGGAGACCTCTTCCTCGAAGCATTCCCCCCCCCCCCGGCAGTGTGCACATGTAAATTAGCATATGCCAATGTATGCACCCCGGCTGTCCTGTGGCCTTTAACTAGCACTGACCCTGGGAACTGCCTGAGGTTTGTATGCTCCCCTTGTGTTTCTGTTGGCTGGTCTGCTTTTCCAAAATGGGTGTTGGATTAAAGTGCTTTTTGGAACAATTCTGCACTCGTGCTTCATTCTCTCCTGGATTCATTCTTTTTCGTATGAGGTTACCATTTTAAGGAAGTAGCTCAGATCCTTTTAAGTTAGAAGGTCCTCCCACCCCGTAGGCACAGAGCGCTTTGTGCTGTCGTAGGACCTCACAAATCAGCCCTCTTTTCTGATATCACCCCCCACGCCATGCACTGGATCCGGGCTCTGCCGGCCACAGGAGGAGGTGACTTTCCAGGAGTGGATGCACCCTGCTCATGGAAGGTCCCTCTGTCAGATTTTGCGGGATCCTCTTCTGCCATAACGGGACCTCCGGTCTTGCCATGGAATATTTCCAGGAGCTACTGTTGGAAAGAGGAAGTGGCGAATCCCATTGCTCCCCACGCAGTCAGTTCAGCACACATCTGGGTCACGCACCCTGTGTTCAGGCAGCGAGGATGCCCCAATGTTTATTCTTTGTGGCTGCCTCCAACTCTCTGGATTTCCTTCCCATAGAACAGGGGTGTGCAGCCTCCAGCCCACGGGTGGGCTGCACATCCGTGCCTGGCCTGCACACGTCCTCCCAAGCCCCATCCTTTTCCTTCCCACTTTCTCTCTCATCAGAGATTTCATTTTAGCAGTGGGGCAAATGAATTGCAGCTTAGGACCTGGGTATCTGAAGGAGTGTCTCCTTCCATATTTATTTATTTATTTATTTATTAAGACATTTTTATGCCGCCCCATTCGCCGAAGCCTCGGGGTGGCTTAGAGCAATAAGTTAAAATAATTATAAATCAAAAATATAAACATTAAATTAAAAATGCAAAAATACACTATAAAATAAGCCGCCCTGGCCAGATAAAATCCAATAATATTAACAGTTAAAATGCCGCTTGAATAAAAAGGTATACCTGCCTGCCCCCCAAGGGTTGGAGGTCCTTCTTTGGGAGCACTCCCTGAGGGATATTAGGAGGGTGGCTACCCAGAGAAGGGCCTTCTCAGTGGTGGCACCCTTGTTATGGAATGTGCTCCCCAAAGAGGCTTGCCCGAGACAGTTGAAGAGTATACCGAATGAATGAATGTTGAGTCCAGCTACTGAATGGCCCATGGTGAACGTACCTTCCATGGACACCTTGCTGCCTTTCCATGCTGCATGGGAGTAAAGCCAGACGATTTGCTTTCTCCCTGGACATCTTTCTTCTACTCATCCCTCACGTGATTCCCCATAGATTCTCCTTTTACTTTGCAAGCAAAATCCACCAAAGATGAAAAATGGGAAGCGCTGTACAGCGGCACTTGAACGTCTGCATTTAAAGCATCTGGCAGCCCCCAAAACCTAGGAGTGGGACAAAGAAGTGTGTGAATCATGCAAGCATGTGTGCACATGGTGTGAGGCAGCCACGGAAGGGTTCGGTGGTCCTTCCACAGTTGCCCACCCTGGATTCATCAGAATGTCCATATAATTTTAAGGGTAGCCATACCTGGTAGCATGTTGACATAAGACCTGAAGAGATTCTGGACTGAAGCCCACTCATCCATAAAACTCACCGGGGTGACCCGGGGTTCGTCATTCTCCTTCAGCCTAAACCTTCTCACGGGCTTGTCGCAAGCACTTTGGAAGGCAGCTGTTTGTGTGTGCACATTTCCACATGGGGACACGTGAGGGCCAGGAGCAGAACAAGTCCGGGTGCCAAACACACCATGGAGAATGGGGAGGAAATGCCAGGAATCGCCTTTTCTCAGTCACCTCCCAAGGCTGGTGGATCTGACCTGACCACTTGCCATAATCCTAAAGAGGGCTGAGTCCAGGTGGGCTGTTGATGCTAAACCACTTACGATCCATTATGGCTCCTTTGGGGCAGGGCTGCAGTTGAAGGACATGTAAATATTTCCAGGATGGACACAAAGTCCAGATCCAAACATGGTATTCAGTGTGGCTAAAACTCTTGACTGTGTGTGCAGAAGGTCTCTAAGGACATCATTCAAAACTACCTCCTCGGGGAAACTCACAATTTGGTGTTGTTAAGTCTAGTCATCTCTTAATTACAGGCACCCCATGACTGGGTGTCCTCCAAAATTTCCTACGAATAACAGCTCTGCTCAGCTCTTATAAATCCCAGGCTGTAGCTTCCTTGATGGAGTCACGCTATCTCCTATTTTGTATTCCTCTTGTTTTTCACTGGCATGATTATCTTCTCCAGGGAGTTTAGACTTCTCATGATGTGTCCAAAGTACAACCGTCTCAGTATTATCCTTTTTGCTTCTAGGGAAAGACCTGGCTTGATTGAATCCAGGATCCACTTGGTTGTTTTTCTTTCAGTCCAGAGTATTTGCTCTTCTCCAGCACCATGTTTGGAACACATCCATTTTCTTCTGATCAGCTTTCTTCACTGTCCAGATTTCACACCTGTACATTGTGATTTGGATGATCTCAGCCTTGTTTTCCGGTAAAACGTCCTTATGCTTTAGGACCTTTTCTAATGATTGCTGCCCTTCCAAATCTCAGCCCTCTTTGAATTTCTTGGCTGTAGCCTCCTCAATGACTGAGCCGAGGTATGTGAAATCTTTCACAATTTTGATTTTTCACTTGAACAGTCAAGCCCTTCTTCACTTGTACAGTCTTTAATTCTGAGAACATGATTCTTGTTTTCCTAATATTCAGCTGCAGTCCTGATTTGGCACTTTTGGTTTTCATATAACCATATGCATGCAAGGCCTAAAAATAACCATAAACAACACAAGTGGCTTATAAAACCATAAACAACACAAGCGGCTTCCTAGGAAAAAGAAACCAAATGCATCAGTACAAGATGGGGAATACACAGCTCAACAGAACTGAACAAGAAAAAGATCTTGGCGTAATTGTGGCTAAACATGAGCCAACAATGCGATGAAGCGGCCAAAAGGGCAAATGCTATTTTGGGATGCATTAACAAGTATCACGAGAAGTAGTAGTTCCTCTATACTCCTCACTAGTCAGACCTCGTCTGGAAGACTGTGTCCAGTTCTGGGCACCAAGATTTAAGAAAGACGCAGGTAAATTAGAAAGGATCCAGTGGAGGGCAACAAAGATGAACCCGAGTTTGGAAACCCTGTCCTGTGAGACTGAGAGAACTGGGCACGCTCAGCCTTGGGAAGAGAAGGCTGAGGGGGACATGGTATCCCTCCTGAAGTACCTCAAAGGCTGTTACAAAGAGGAAGGTCAAGATCTCTTCTTGCTTATGCCAGAGTGGAAGATACAGAATAATCTATTCAAGTTCCAACAACCCAGATTCAGGCAGGACATCAGGAAAAGCTTCCTCACTGTCAGAGCAATTCTACCGTGGAACCAGCTGCCTAGAGAGGTGGGGGGCTCCCCCACACTAGGGACATTCAAAAAGAAACTGGGCAGCCATCTGAGTGGGATGATGGAACTTGGAGTCCTGCCACAGCAAGAGGTTGGACTCGGTGGCCTTCATGGCCGCTTCCATCTCTACTATTTTGTGATTCTCTGAAATGTCAGAACTAGGAGACACGCAACCGAAAGACATTCCGGGATAGATTTTTGCCCAGTTCAGACGTCTTTAAGGCAGCACCCATGTGCCTTTCCCGAGCTCAGGCTTGGCCACGCTGGGGCCAGGCGAGGCGCGATCCAGAGAGGTGCGGGGTGCGGGGAGCGGGGAGGAGGAGGCGTGCTGGGCGCCCCCTTCCCGGTGGGTTTGGGGGCGGAGAGGCGCAAAGAGTTAAAAGAAAGAG